TATGGGTGCTCTAGACTTAGTATAACCTGGATATAAGTCCTAGGAAGGGTTGGAAAGTGCCAAACACACCAAATAAGGTGTGTGCGGCCACACACCTTTATGTACGGCCGCACACCCAACCGCACTCACCCTCAACCTCACACTCAATCCCTTATATGGATGAATACCTCTTCATTCATTTGATGTTTCTCTTCCCTCTCTTTACTTTCTCTCTCTAAAATCGTCAACCAAGAACACTTGGAAGGCTTCATAATTGTGATCTACTACATCTTCAAGCTAAGTATAGTGGTAAACACTTGAATCCCAAGCTTAAAACTCATCATGTTCATCATCCCTTGAACGTGTACGGCCGCACACCTTCACACGGGGGCAACATACATTCAAATCTCCCAAGTGTGAAAAGCAAACACTTCAAAATCATCATATGGACTCAACTGAGGACTGTACGGCCGCACACTTCTGGGTACGGCCGCACACACCCTCTGTACGGCCGCACACTCTTGTGTGCTGCCTCACACACACTCCTGGCCGCACTCCCCAGCCGCACACTCATTTTCAAGACCATACACCCACTCTAATGCCCATATTTGGCCCTAAACTTGCATAAATCATTAAGTCTGGATCATAGGACACTTATTATTAGTAATTCCAAGCCCTAAGGATGTTTTCACATCATGTTTAGTCATGAAACACCTTAGTTCTAACTCATTTACGTGTCGTCACATGAATAATAGGGGCCATAGGCATTCAGGGCATTCGTTGACACTTGAACCCTATGTTAAGCGGTGAGTTCATACCCCTACTCTTTTCAATGTTTTTCACTGTTTTCAGGGGGAATACAAGCAAAGTACAAGGAATACTTGTACTTTAAACTTTTTTTTACATGTGTTGCGTTACATAATTCATATGCTTTTAACACTGAAAATCATAACTGATAACAGTTTGAACTCGCAGAACACACTATCGTATTATTTGCAAAAAACATTATAAAATGTTATATTTTATATTTTCACAAATGGTTTTCCACATTATATCAGTTATAAGCATAACCTTTGAACTTGAAACATGAAACCTAGTACATTGTTTTGTCCTCGGTAACACTCCTCATAGATACGCGAGTGAGGATCATCGTTTGCATCAGTACCTTTCTATATTATTACTAGTAAATTTGTTATTCCTATAAATTGGAGACAAGTCCTTGGTAACACTCCACAGAGATACGTGAGTGGAGGACCACCCCTGTAATTAGAATCTCCTGGAGGGAGAACGTGACTTGAGTGTATAGATCTATACGGGGCTAACTACCCCACACCTGGCTGCTAGCTACAGCCGAACCGAAAGGTTCAAGGGTGACGAAAGTCATAAGGTGATGTGGACTACTTATTGCCATATCTAGTCTATCGTATGGTTATGGAACTTGCAATTTGGATCACAGAGATTTACTAAATGGTAATAAAGAACAAGTAACTATGTTTACTTTACATACATTAATTTTATATACGTGTTAAAACTAATACCACTCACAAGAACAACTAGGTTTTCAGTATACATCTTTCACATTAGTAACCAACATTTAAGAAAATATGGGATTTTCTTGGTGTGTACCTTTTTCAGAAACAGAAACAAAAAGGAACTTGTACATTTTCAGAAAATAAAACCACTTATGAACTCACCAGCGTTATGCTGATTTTCAAACTGCTTGTATTCTTAGGTCCGCATTAGACGGGTACCCGATGATTCCTTTTTGGCAAAGACGGAGTGCGTTGAAGACTCATCTTACTTTTGTTCGTATATACTATGTATCAGTCCTGTACAACATTACTTTCAAACAAATGTAAACCATTAAATATGTAATGTAATGGTTGTTTACTTTACTTACTATGTGCATTGGATTTGATACTCAATGTGGAGTCAACCCCAGAAATGTTTCCGCCTTCGGTTTTCGGGGTGTGACAGATTGGTATCAGAGCCCTTGTTTATAGTGAATAAAGTATACCAAACCTTACATGGTATAACACTATAAACACCAAGGGTGCCTAAGTGCTCTGAACTAAAAGTATACTTCAAAGTATAAGTATTTTCAGAAGTATACAAGTATACCTAATCGTCGAGATTCGTTACTACAAGTAGAACAATGTAGCCGTGTCTAGGATCAATATAGCCTGGCCAACTATATTCATTCGAGTCACGACCAACATGTGCTTGGGAGTGACTGTGGTGTGCGACATGCCTAAAACTCACCCTAATATCCCAAACATCGAACCTTGGTCGTAACGAATCATGAAATACTATGAGAGTATTTCTCGAGCCAATCCTTAGTAGAAATCCTCATTCGAGCGTTGTTTCCTGATCATTCCTTAGCGATAAATTATCTGTTTTGATAACTCTTTCCTGCTTTATCGCTTATTCAGAATATATAAATGTCATATCTATTGATTCAATTTGGAGGACTTATCATCATCTCTTTCCTGATCTTATTAGATCAAGATGCCTCCAAGAAAGAGACCCAACTCAAAGACTAACAACCCTCCGCCACCACATTCTCCTCAAATTGACCTCGCAATGCTTCAAACAGCTATTGCTGCCGCAGTGACAGCCGCCGTGTCACAAATGAACCCCAGAAATTCAGGAGGTGGTCCCCAACCCCAAAACCTCGAAGATAGTCAAGGACACCGAAAAGGGGGTTCTTATAAAGACTTCATGAGCGCAAAACCCACTTCCTTCGATGGCACTGGAGGTGTCATTTCCCTCACTCGATGGTTCGCAAAAATCGAATCCATCTTTGAAATATGTGCTTGTTCGGAGCCTGATAAAGTAAAATTCACAGCCTGTACCTTCAGTTACAAAGCCCTGACTTGGTGGAATAGCCGAGTCAAATCCCTAACCCTACCTGTAGCTAATGCTATGGGTTGGGAAGCCATGAAAGAACTCCTTCTGTCTGAGTACTGCCCTCGGGGCGAAATACAGAAGTTAGAGCACGAGCTCTGGAATCTAAAGATGAAGGGTTCCGATCTTGCAGCATACATCTCGAGGTTTGACGATCTGGCACTGCTTTGTCCGGGAATGGTTACCCCAGAGAGTAAGAAAATAGAAAGGTTTATTTGGGGGCTGACCCAACCAACCAAGGGACATGTCTTATCTGCATGGCCGGATACTTATGATAGTGCCAAAAGTTTAGCCCAGATCCTGATTGATCACAATGATGAAGTTGAGGAAACAACCGCCACTCCCGAACCGACCAAAACTAGTGGTGAAAAGAGAAAGTTCTGGAAGATGAAGAAAGGCCAACCTTCCCAAGGATCCTCAAAGAAACAACAGACTGTAGCAGTCCATGCTGCTACTACCCCCATTGCTGCTGCTTCTGTTGTAGGATCTACAGCTCAGACCCCTACCAATAGGTATGCTGGTAACCTACCCCAATGTGAAAAGTGCAAGTACCACCATAACCCTAGCCCCTGCCGTGACCTAATATGCACCAACTGTGGGAAAAAGGGGCACACGGTCTGATTCTGTAAGACACCAGCCCAGTCAGCCAACCAATCTTCTGGAGCAGGTGTTAGTCAAGCCTGCTACAATTGTGGAGAAGTTGGGCATTACAAGAGGAACTGCCCCAAGAAGGCGATGGATGATAACACCGGGAGAGTCCTAGCCATGGGACGGGAGGAGGCAGTCGCTGATCCCACTGTTGTTTCGGGTACGTTCCTTCTCGATAACTCTTATGCTAGTATTATTTTCGATTCGGGTGCTGAAAGAAGTTTTGTTAGTCATTTGTTCAAACATAATCTAAAACCTAACCCCCAACCACTAACCGAAACGTTTACCGTCGAGATGGCTAATGGTGAGAAAGAAAGCACTAGCAATGTATTCATAGGTTGTACCCTTATCCTGAACGATCACTCATTTCCCATCGATCTTATGCCAGTCTCCATTAAGAGCTTTGATGTTATCATTAGCATGGACTGGTTGAGTCCCAATCATGCTGATATCCTTTGCTACGAAAAAAGCATCCGTCTCAACCTTCCTTCGGGTCAAATTCTCATAATCTATGGCGATAAACTCAGCTCCAATCTTCGCATCATTTCCTACATCAAAGCTCAGAAACTCTTGCGAAAGGAGTGCCAAGCATTCCTAGCCCATGTAATCAACGAGAAAAAGGAAATTACATACCTCGTGAGCATCCCCGAAGTCTGCAACTTTCGTGACATCTTTCCCGAAGAGCTCCCAGGAATTCCTCCCGAACGTCAGGTTGAATTTCGCATTGACCTGATTCCTGGAGCTACCCCCATAGCCAAGTCTCCATATCGTTTAGCTCCAGCAGAAATGCAGGAGCTATCTAGCCAACTCAACGAGTTACTCAGCAAAGGGTTCATCAGACCGAGTTCGTCACCCTGGGGAGCTCCGGTTTTGTTTGTGAAGAAGAAAGATGGATCCTTTCGGATGTGTATCGACTACCGTGAGTTGAACAAGTTGACCATCAAAAACCGATATCCACTTCTGCGAATAGATGACCTCTTCGATCAACTTCAAGGAGCTAGCTACTTCTCAAAGATAGACCTTCGGTCAGGGTACCATCAGCTACGAGTTCAAGAGAGTGATGTTTCCAAAACAAATTTCAGAACTCGATATGGACACTACGAGTTCGTAGTGATGCCCTTCGGTCTAACCAACACACCAGCAGTGTTCATGGACCTAATGAACCGGGTGTGCCGTCCCTTCTTAGACAAGTTCGTCATCGTGTTCATTGACGACATCCTTGTCTACTCTAGAAGTGAAGAACACCACAAGCAACACTTGAGGTCATCAAAACCCAAGTCATTTGCTAAAATTTTTTCTCTCTCTAACTTTCTCTCTCTAGGATTTTCTCTCTCGGTCTTCCAGTTTTGGTGAGTGGCTTGGTTGGGATTCTGGTGATCGGATCTCTTGCCGGTGCCGGAATTTCATCATCGTTGATTGAATTTACTCTAAAACAAATTCCAATTGTTTATACGATTAGAAGTGGGATGTTCGGCAAAATTGGAAATATGTTTGGCATGAACTGCACTGATCCTCCTGATCCGGATAACAAAAAATTATACGAAGAAGAATTGGAAGCTGATGTTGGAGCTAAACGACGAGGTAGAAGAGCTGTTCATAAGGAAATTTCGCCGTATTCTGGGAATAAACCTCTTAGATTGAAAGAGAAAATGGAATTCAAGGCTAATCGAATTCAGGCAGAGAAGAATTTTTTGAATTCGAAATCTCCAATTGAACGATCGAAGATGGTGCTTAGAGCTGGAGTACGTGATGTAATTAAAATTGGATATGGTAAGGAAAATATCGATCCGGAGTTCATTAAAGCGGAGCTTAATGCTTTTGAGGAGGTGATTACGGATGGGAAGAAATTGCAATCGCAGAACAAGATCAATTCAAATGGGATGTCTAAATTGAGGAATGAAATGGTTGAGGAAAAAGGATTTGTGATGCTTCCAGTAACATCAGACATGCTCGAGGGATTTATTTCTTCAAAGGAGAATATTAGCGCTAATCAAATTTCATCTCAGTCGCCAATTGATGAATCGAATATCTCCAAGGGTCTCAAGTCTTCGAAGATTATGGAGACTGGATCGTCTTCCTCAAAGCCTAGTTCTGTAATTAAAGCAAATAATGACAAGGGCATTTTGGGGAAAGTTCCTTTATCACATGCTGGCCCTGTTATTTCAGGTACTCCTTTGGTTTCTGATGATAATCCAAGTGCCCCAATCAGCTGTCCTACTAATTGTAATGATGAAGTTATGAAAGACTCAATGAATGATAATGGGAATGTGGAAGTTGATTCTGGTAATAATATGAAGAAGGAACAGGGAGCTAATTTCTTGAACATGGATTTTTCGAAAACTGTTATATCCCCTGCAGCGAAGTTGGTTAGTGATTACAATAAAAAATCTTATGCACGTATGGTTGATTCAACTAATAATGTGGTAGATCTTAATATCAAAGTAATTCCAAAAGTTGATGGAAAGCCTAATGGGAAAGTGGAGTTGCCTTATGCAGATTTAATGTTGGGTGGAGCTCCTTATCATGCAACTTTGTATGGATTTTTTGTGGGGAAAAAACTTGCATTTCCAACGGTTAATCATTTCTCATTCAAGATGTGGAAGATATTTGGGCTGAAGGATATACTGGTAAATGATGAAGGATTCTTTTTCTTTAAGTTTGATTCAAAGGAAGGCATGATGAATGTGCTGGAGGGAGGTCCATGGCTGATTAATAATGTACCTATGTTCGTTCAAAGATGGAGGCCAGGTTTAGTTCTAAGTAAACCTCAAATCAATTCAGTTCCTGTGTGGGTTAAAGTGTTTAATGTACCTTTGGAGTATTGGAACAGCAAAGGAATTACTTTGATTGCTAATGAGATTGGAAAACCAATTGCTATGGATAAAATTACCCAAAAAATGTGTAATGAACATTGGGGAAGGCCAGCATTTATGCGATTTCTTGTGGAAATGTCAGTAGAAGTAGAATGGATGAAAGAGTTAAGTGTGGTCTCAATAGACTTTGGGACAGGAGAAAAAGTTGAATCAAAGTGCAGGGTAGAGTATGCATGGAGGCCTGATGTTTGTAATCACTGCAAAGTCTATGGGCATAAAAATAGCAATTGTGGAATTTTAAATGGAATGAAAACTGGAAATGTTGCTGATGTTGCTGTTAACAGAGAAGAAAATGGGAAAAAAGAGAAAGTAGATGAAGAAGGTTTCACGTTAGTAACAAAGAAAAACAACAAAGGGCAAAAATTTAATGCTGGTGTGGTTATTAATGAAAATGGAAAAGTGGACTTAATCCAATCCTTGGAGGAAAATTCATTCCCTGTTAGTGAAAGAATTTCTACTAGCAGTAATGATGGAACGCCAAATGATGTGGATAAGCAAGAAAAGGAAAAAAGCAAGAAAGTTAAAGTTCAAGAAAATCAAATTGGAGCTCAAAAACAAGATCGGAACAATAAAGGGACAGAGACTCGGAATATTGGGAGTAATTTTTCGAAATTTGCTGTGGGCAATCTAAAAAAAGATGGGAAAGAGAAAGGGGTATTTCAGTCAAAAGAGGGTAAAAGTGGGAAAATAAATGGTACAGGAGTTTTTATTCCAAAAGAAAAGTTAGGGGCAAGAGTGAAGAATGTAATTGAAAATTTTAATGCTAGAAAAGAAGGAATACAGGGGAGGAAAGAAGAAAATCCGAAAAAGGTGTTTGTCCCTAAAAAACAAGTGGATTTTAAAGTTAGTTCTAACTTTGATAACATAGGATCTACTTCAGGAAAAGACAATCAAGATGAAATTATATCTCATAATCCTTTTGATGTTCTTGCTGATTTGGGATTAAGGGACATGTCTTATTTGGATGAGATTGACCCGGAGATTTTAACTGGAGGTGGCCAGGAGATAAACACCGAAAATACAATCATTGATCAATGATGATGAATATAGGGTGCTGGAATGTGAGGGGTTCGAACTTAAGGCCTAAACAGGAGGAAATAAAAAATGTTATAAGAAGTAATAATCTGTCTTTGTTTGCTATTCTTGAATCACAGTTGAGGTTTAATAAGCTGCAAATGACTTGTAATAATGTTTTTGGGAGCTGGATGTGGATTTCAAATCAAGACATGAGCCCTAAAGGCACTCGTATTATCATTGGATGGGACCCGGATGAAGTTATTGTCATGCTGTTGGATGCTAATAGTCAGGTGATGCACTGTCAAGTCATTTTCATTAAGGAAAATAAGAGATTGTTTTGTTCTTTTGTCTATGGCTGCAATTATTATATAGACAGAAGAAAACTTTGGAGTTCCTTGGAAAAACATTATAATCTGGTAGCTGGATAACCTTGGTTGATTGCTGGAGATTTTAATGTTACTAGGGAACTTGTGGATTCGATGGCTGGTCACTCAAAAATATCGAGAGGTATGGTGGAATTTAATGAGTGCATTAATCATATTGAAGTTCAAGATATAAATTGTAATGGGTTACACTACACCTGGAATCAAAGACCACGTGGGGCTTCTGGGGCTTTGAAGAAACTTGATCGTGTGCTTGGGAATCATAATTTTATTGATGAATTTCCGAATGTGTTTGCTAATTTCCAGCCTTATCGGATTTCAGACCATAGTCCTATGATTATCAAATTCCCAATTAAAAGGAAATTCAGGATCAGACCATTCAAGTTTGTTAATTCGCTTGTGCTGCTAGATAATTTTCTTCCCATTGTTGATAGTGTTTGGAAAACTGATATTGAAGGGTTTGGAATGTTTCGGCTCTGTCAGAAACTGAAGCTTTTAAAGAAACCTCTCAGGAAATTGTTAAATGCTCATGGCAATTTTGCTGAAAAAGTTTCTAAATGCAGAGAAGAATTATGTCGGGTCCAGGAAAGTCTTGATTTAGACCCATGCAATGAAGAGCTGAGATTTGAAGAAGGAATTTACCTTCAATCCTTTTTTAATGCTAGCAGGGAAGAAGAGAGTTACTTAAAGCAAAGAGCTAAAGTGCATTGGCTTAAGGAGGGAGATTCTAATACTGCTTATTTTCATAAGGTAGTTAAAGGAAAAATGAACAGGAACAGAATTGAAACTATCCTTGATGGAAATGGAAATTGGAAGGAAGGGGATGAAGCTTTTAAAGTCATTGTGGATTATTTTGGTGAATTCCTTGGAGTGGAACATGATGTTGATCCCATTCTTAGGCCGGATGATCTAGTTTTCAGAAAACTGGACAATCAGCAAGCTTTAGATATGATTAAAGATGTTACTGATGAGGAAATTAAGGCTGCACTTTTTGATATTGATGATGATAAAGCGCCTGGCCCTGATGGTTTTTCGTCTAAATTCTTTAAGAAAGCTTGGATGATAGTGGGGAGTGATTTTTGCTTTGCTGTTAAAGAATTTTTTCTGTCAAAAAAGATCTTGAAGGAAGTTAATGCTACTGTTATTGCTTTAGTTCCTAAAGTTCAGACTCCAGGCAAGGTTGGGGACTATCGGCCGATTTCTTGTTGCAATGTGATTTACAAATGCATTAGCAAAGTTATTGTTAACCGTATTAGAGAGCATCTTGGGTGCTTGGTTTCGGATAATCAGTCGGCATTTATCCCAGGGCGTTCTATCTTGGATAATATTCTGTTATCTCAAGAACTTGTCAGAGGGTACCATATTAATAGGGGCTTTGCTAGATGTGCTATGAAAGTTGATATTCAAAAAGCGTATGATACAGTCAATTGGAGTTTTTTGCGTAATATATTGAAAGAGTTTGGATTTCATGAGTCTATGATAACTTGGATTATGAATTGTGTTACTACTTCTTCATTTATGATCAATATAAATGGAAGCTTTCATGGGTTTTTCCAAGGAAAGAGAGGTCTTAGACAAGGCTGTCCTCTGTTTCCTTACCTCTTTACTCTTGTAATTGAGGTTTTTAACCTAATGCTTAAAAGGAGAATAAAGGAGAGTAATGAATTTAAATATCACTGGAGATGTAAAGAACAGGAGCTCACTCACTTATGTTTTGCTGATGATCTGATGGTTTTCTGTCACGGAAATTCTGGGTCAATAAAAGTGATTAAAAAGGCTATAGATGAGTTTGCTAATTCAGCAGGTCTTATTCCAAATCTGTCCAAAAGCCACATCTTTTTTGGGAATGTTAAGGAGCATTTTAAAAGGAAAATTTTGAGGATTCTTCCTTTTGTTGAAGGTAAACTTCCTATGAAGTACCTTGGGATCCCCTTAATTTCTACTAAGCTTTTTATTAGAGATTGTAAGGGTATCTTAGAAAAAGTCAAGAAGAGAGTTAATGACTGGAAAAATAAGTCCTTGTCTTATGCTGGAAGACTTCAATCGGTTAGTGCTGTTCTTGCTACTATTCCTGTCTACTGGGCTTCTGTGGTTCTTATTTCGAAGGGTATAATTAAAGAAGTTGAAAGAATAATGAGGAACTTTCTGTGGAGTAGTGGGCAAAATAGTTAGGGTGTTGCTAAAATCTCATGGAATAAAATATGCAAGCCAAAGATATATGGTGGTCTCGGGCTGAATAATCTCAAAGAATGGAACATGGCTCTTCTTTCGAGTAGAGTATGGAAGATTATTAGTGGGCATGATTCACTATGGGTGAAATGGGTTAAGCAATATCTTCTTGAATGTAGAAGCTTTTGGGACGTGGGAACAAAGGATAAGATGAGTTGGAGTTGGAGGAATCTAATGAAGATTAGACCGGTTTTGCGAAATTTTTTTTATTCTCAGGTTGGTAATGGGGAAAATATTTTCATGTGGTATGATAATTGGCATCAATTAGGACCCTTGTGTTATGTTTTGACACCGAGGGAAATAAATAATGCTGGTTATCATATTAAGGATAAAATCAGAGATGTGATATCTAATGAGGACTGGAATTGGCCGATTGATTGGATTAGAAGTATTCCTCAGCTTGCAGAATATCCTGTCCCTAGACTTGTTAGGGAAAAGAAGGATGCTGTTTTTTGGTTAAACAAGAAAGGAGTTCCTGTCCCTTTTGCTGTGAATCAAGTTTCCAAATCCCTTATTGTTCACGAGATGAAAGTTGGCTGGTATGATCTTGTTTGGTTCCAACAGAGAATTTCAAATCATTGCTTCATCCTATGGCTGGCTATTCTTGGAAGACTTAGAACTCAAGACAGAATGAAAAAATGGAAATCTAGGTGTAATTTCAGGTGTGCTTTCTGCAATAATCAAAGTGACTCCCATTGTCATATTTTTTTCGAATGTAAATTTTCACAGGAAGTTTGGAATAATGTGAAAAGGATGGTCAATATCACTCATAAGGAAGGTAATTGGTTTGAGATCATTGATGAATTGCAAGTGACTTTAAAAAGGAAGAACATTGAAAATTTTATAAAGAAATGTGCTCTTGCTGCTACAGTCTATTATATTTGGAATGAAAGAAATAAGAGATTGTTTGGAAAAGAAACTAATTCCATTGAAATTGTGGTTCATAGAATTATGGATGATATTAGATTGAAGTTATTTGGTCTCAAATATGGTTATTTGGGGTTGAATGTTGAGATTTGTAAACACTGGAATGTCCCAATTAAAAATGTTAAAGGACCTGATGGGGATTGATTTGAATTATATGTGGTAAACAGAAATGGTTGGCAGGGGAGTTGCCATGGAGATAGGAAGGTGAAAATTAGGAAGGATTGTAATAAAAATGTGAATTTAATAAATTGGGTGAAAGGGTATTCTTGTCTTTTTTGGGATATTAATAAATTGGAAGAAGTTATAGTGAATTGCTTGTTTGCTATTGGTTTTGATTTTATGGTCTGGTTGGAGGATTGGCGGGAGAATGATTTGAGAAATAAAAATTACTGGTGCCGCTTTCTTGTTCAGGGGCTTATCGAGAATTGGGTTGATGAAGATGTGATTGGGTTATCCTTATTCAAAATTGATTATCGCAATTTTTTATGGAAGGATGATAACAAGCGAACTGGTGATTCTCATTATTGGGATGGAAGAAATAAAACTAAGGGCAATTTTGACATGCGGCAATGTTTGCTGGCTAGGAACCGATGGCAGGATTGTGATTGCAGAGTTGATTTGGTAAATAGAAAGAAGAATTTTAATAAAAGTGAAAGGTTAAGGAATTGGATCAAAGGGTATTATGGTCAAATTCAGGGGGGAAATAAAATGGAAGAATCTTTTGTGAATTGCTGCTTCGGTTATGTTATTGGTGTTATGGATTACCTGGAGGATTGGAAGAAGATAGATTTGAAGAATAATTATTGCTGGGATCTATTTCTTGAACAGGGGATGAGCGAGAACTGGGGAAATGAATTAGCGATTAGGTGTCTTATATGCAAGGCCGGTAATTGCAAGTTCTTATGGATGGAGGGCAGAAGGCGTTGGAGTGATAAACAACGAAATCTGGGTTCAATTGAGAAGGATAGTAAGCAAGGGCAATTTGGGAATTTTCCTGTTTTTGAAGAGTTTTGCTGCTGGAATGAGATTAATGGGGGCTGGTTAGCTAAACAAAGGGTTTGGAATAATACAATTGAGAGTATTTTTCCTTTTTATATAAGTACAAGGAGGCAGGGGCAATATGGTCATATTTATGTGAAGGGTGCTGAAATTTATCCTTTTATGATACATCTTTGGAATTTGGCTGTTAAGGGGCGAAATCGGAATTATTGGATATGGATGAATTCACTTGCTCATGAAGGAGATCATTTCAAATATTTTTACAATGGAATTGACGGTTATGGGATTTTTACCAATTTTTCCCTTAAAATTGGATTGCAACTCGGTTTAATCCCGAGTATCATTTGGTTTATGCCTTATGATGTGGTCACTTTTCATCAATATATGGAATTTATTTTCATTTATTGTGAATTCCCGCCTTGGAAACAAGGTTTGTATTTTCAAGGATTTGATGGAAATGGGAGTTTTATCATTTTTTCCCTT